TGGAGATGATACGGGTCTGACCAATCACGGCGCGCGTAACAAGGCTGCTGGGAGCGGGCTTTATCAAGTGGTACAAAGTATTTTCATGTTTTGGTGAAACTTTATATTACTTAGGGTAGCTGTTAGGGATAGTCGTCCAACAATGGCAAAACTATTAATTTTTTACTATAGATATTTAAAAGATTCAGTAACATATGCTCTAAAATATCGGGGCGCATTATTATACAGTTATTTCTGCCCCAGTTTGAGCTGTCTTAAAGTAGGATGTCTATTTCCTATTTTTACTTTCATTTATTACGTGCTCCACCGCTTATATTTAGATATTCATATATTTTTTTTTATTTTACCATAAAATGCGTCTAAATCATGATATCATTTAGGCAATGCATTCCAATTAAACATTCATTTCACGTGGAAATAAAAAGACTTAATTACATCCCCTCCCTCTCTGCATGGAGCTCCCACTTTGCACATACTTAAAGGATTAATCATAACAAGAATTTCCCACCCTGTCATAACAAGATAAATTCTCGTTGTCTTTCCCCTCCTCCTCTTTTACTTTGAATATATTTCTCTCTCTCCGTTTATTTCTGTCCGGTTCTCTTTCTGCGTGTGTGTGTGTGTGTGTGTGTGTGTGTGTGTGTAAGTGTGTGCGTGCGTGCGTGTGCGTGTGTGTGTCTTTCGTCTCTCTCTCTCTCTCTCTCTCTCTCTCTCTCTCTCTCTCTCTCTCCTCTCTCTCTCTCTCTCTCTCTCTCCTCTCTCTTCTCTCTCTCTCTCTCTCTCTCTCTCTCTCTCTCTCTCTCTTCTCTGTCTCTCTCTCTCTCTCTCTCTCTCTCTCTCTTCTCTCTCTCTCTCTCTCTGTTCTCTCTCTCTCTTCTGTCTGTCTCTGTCTCTAGTCTCTCTCTTTCTGTCTGTCTCTGTTGTCTATCTGTCCTCTCTCTCTCTCTCTCTCTCTCTCTCTCTTTCTTCTCTCTCTCTCTCTCTCTCTTCTCTCTCTCTCTCTCTATCTATCTACTATCTATTATCTCTATCTTCTATCTGTGTGTGTGTGTGTGTGTGTGTGAGAGAGAGAGAGAGTCCTCTCATCACTTTCTCTCTCTCTCTTCTTTTTTGTGTGTAATGTGTTGTGTTTGTGTTGTGTGTGCACAGACACACTCAGACACACACAGACATATATATATATATATATTATATATATATTCTATATATATATATATAAGTATATAAATAATATATATATATAATATAATATATATATATATATATGTGTGTGTGTGTGGTTATATGATACATTATATATATATATATATATATATATATTATAATATATATATATATGTGTGTGTGTGTGTGTGTGTGTGTGTGTTGTGTGTGTGTGTGTGTGTGTGTGTGTTGTGTGTGTGTGTGTGCTGTGTTGTGTGGTGTGTGTGTTGTGTGGTGTGTTTACACATACGCACACATTACATACTCTACATATGTATACATAAATATATATTTCAGTATTATATATTATATATTAATAATATATTATATATAAACACACATACATGTGTGTGTATATAATATATATATATATATATATATATATATTATATATGTATATATATATATAAGAACACACACATGTGTGTGTATATATAAAGCATATTTAGTGTATAATTATCTCTTAATTTTCTTCACCTCTCTCCTTCCTTATTATCTCTCTCCCTGCTTTCTCTCTCTTGTTCGCTTCTTCCAGAGACAGCACGTGGGGTTCCCATGCTCCATGTTTATCACTGGTGTTCCCCGCTTTTACAATATATTAGTAATTAGCGATTCGCGAGTAACTCCGCCTCTCTGTGCTATAAAGCGCCCACACTCGGAATGTATCCTCGTGATACCCACTCCTCCTCCCCTCACTATTTTGTCTCTTTCTCTCTAAGAATGAAGGTAACCAGTCTTAATTCCTGCTTTTGAGATCTCCCTGCTTCTCTCAACAAACCTTTTGATGTTAAAAGGTCGTCTCTAACTCCTCCTCCATCAATCTTTTCATTTCTCTCTTCCTATCTTTCTCACATTCATCCAGTCATCCTCTATCTTCTCTCTTCATCTCGCCATCTGTCTATTTTATCATCTCCCACTCTCTATCCCCGTAAATAAACAACCCATTCAGAAAAAAACGGGTTAGAATCGAGATACAACGGTGTTTAAAATCAAAGAAAACCCCATTTGAATCAGCCTTTTAGGAAAGACGGTCTTCCTCAGCTGAGCTCCTCTGTAACATCATTGGCTACGATTAGCTGTAAAAAGAGACGCTTTCGTAGTAGTTTTATAACGGCTATGGAATGTTATCTCCCTGAAGGCACGGTGGAGTGAGCCGCTGATGTTCTCAGATCGCCCTGTGGTAAATCAACATGGGTCTTTATATTCATTTTATTTCAGTGCTGTTATAGGTGAGTTTGTAATCTGCTGCGGCTATCGTCGGTGTTGGTGGAGTAAATTTTGATGATCGTTCATGCGAATAGTAATAGCTTCGTTGTGTTGTTAACTGTTGGAGAAAATGATGATTATGAGTACACGAACGATGGGGATGTCGGTGATGAATAGCACCGCTGATATGTTTATGATCACAGTGGATTTTGTTTCCTAAATGGAGTCATTCTACCCTCGGGTCTCCTTTTAAAAGGGAAATACTAAATAGAACAGAATATCTGTTTTTGGAAATCATCAATCAGCATTGTCATCATGATTGTGACGGCGAGTGTTGTTGAAAATGGAGATGATTGTAATAATAATAATGATGATCTGTTGACACTATGATTGTAATGATGATGAGGATAATTGATTGACAACGCGATGATAGTGACGAAGATTTTGAAGTTTTTGATAAAAATAGAATACTAACGATATTCATAAAAGACTCTAATGGCTATGGTGATAACAATGGTATTAAGACAATTAGTAATGATGATCTTTAATGATGATGGTAATCATGATAGCAAAATTGATAATGATGTGAAGGAGATGAATAGTAATAGCAATAAGAACTAATATAATCGTAATGATAATATAATGATGATACGGCTAATAACAACAACTACACATGCAGCAACGGCAGTCCCATCATAACACTGATAAAAATGGCATTATCAATCTTAATAACAATACTAATGCTATTACTACTATTGCTTCTGCTGCAAATAGTGATATTCGTAGTACTGATAATGAAAGTAGTATCAACAATAGTAACAATGATAATGACAATAATAATAATGATTATAATGATAATAATGATGACAATGATTATGATGATAATAATGATGATAATGATTAGGATAATAATAATGATGATAATGATAATAACAATAACAATTGTAATAAAAATGGCGATAATACCGATTACTCTTATTAGAATCTTTAACATAATTGTAACAAAATGATAATGATAACGACAACAGTCATGATATCAACAAGAATGTTTAATGTTCATCTTATTGCTATTTATGTGAATAATCTGTTCAACGTCTCTCATTTATGTTTAGAATGCAAGATGTATATGTACGCAAATATATACCGGTTTATACTGGGAAACGAATACACACACAAATATATGTGTAGATACATATATGCATGCAGATCTCTCTCTCTGTCTGTCTGTCTGTCACACACACACACAACACACACACACACACACACACACACACACACACACACACACACACACACACACACACACACACACACACACACACACACACACACACATATATATATATATATATATATATAAATATATATATATATATATATAATATATATATGCATGCACGCAAGCAAACACACACACATGTGCGTGTGTATGTAAATATATCACTCACGGACATCCATTAATCTATTTATCAATCCATGCAATGTACGCATGTGTGCGTACATACATATTTGTGTGTATATATGTATTTCCTAACAATCAGTTCACAATATCAGATTTTTATATCTTTATTTTTTGTGTTTTTTACTGGGTTCAATATTTTCATTCTTGGCTATGAAAGCAAATCAATGACACTCAAACAAACATATACATCTGGACACAATACAAATAACTGCATAATTGAACACATTAGTCATACGTAATCCCACTCGTTTCCATTCACACGGTCTGTTTTCTTTCACTGCTCTTACGTTTAATTGCTGTTTCATAAAACCTTTCCATTAGAGTGTCTTGTGTCATGGCAGTGGTAGTAGAGGCAGTGGTGGTGATAATGATGATGATAACAGTAAAAAGATGTAGAGAAAAATATAACACTCTCAACAACTGCACCACACTCTCAACAATTACACCATCACCAACAACAGCGATGATGATAATAATGATTATCATGATAGTGATAATATTGATAATGATAATGATGATAATGATAATAATAGGGATAATAATAATGATAATAATAATAATAATAATAATGATAATAATAATAATAATAATAATAACAATAATAATAATAATAATAATGATAAAAAAATAATAATAACAATAATAATAATAATGATAATGATAATAATAATTATGGCAATAATAACAATAATGATACTACAACAACTACTACTGCTAATACTAATACTACTAACAATAATAATAATGATAATAATCACAACAATAATAATATTGACAAAACGATGACATGATAAAAGATTGAGATGATCATAATCATAATGATGATAATAATAATGATAATGATAATAATACTAATGATAATAAAGATAATGATAACAATGATCAATAATAATAATAATAATAATAATAATAATAATAATAATAATATAATATATATAATAATAATAATAATAATAATAATAATAATAATAATAAAAAACAACAAAACAACAACAACAATGATGATGATGATAATTATAATAACAATTATTTAAATAATAATGGTACTGCCAATAATACAAATGCAAAAACCACTGCTAATGATAATAATAACGATAATAAAGATGATGATAATATTGATACCTACAAA